AGTTTAAATCATTTGAACCGACTGACTAAACCAAAAAATCAACCCACACCGATACAACTTGAGTGGGTTAGATTTCACAAAAGGTCAACCAGTTTTAGCTAGGGGTGTTCACGGGTCGGGATGGGTTTGTTTGAGTCATTTTCTTCAACCGGCCCGACCTAGTCAGTTTACTTATTGACTAAACCGAAACCGACCGACCCTGAAGCAAAACTGACCCAAACATGAAGGATGAGTTTGGATCGCTTATTTGATTTAGTCAATTTATATATATATATATATATATAAAGCATGACAAGTTTGAATTCCAACAGCCATCCTCTTTGATCATCAGACCTCGTTCCTCACTCCCCATATCTGTGCATCAATTTGAATCTTTCCCATATCTCTCATATTATGGTTTATGGATGGTGTGTTATAANAAGTTTATTTCTTTTTAGTTTTTATGTAAAATCAAAATATATATTTAAATCGATTAGTTTTTTATGCAAAACTGATTTTTTGTCAATATATATATATTTATATATATATATATATTTAAATTTATACAAAACAGAATTAAATATTGTACAATTGTATTATATTTGTATTGGTTTTACTTTTTAGTTTTTATCATAAATAACCATTTTTTTTCAAAGTTCAAACAAAACACAAATAAAATATATTAACATTTAATATATAGGGTAGGGACTAATTAATAATTACTTAAACATACAAGATCCGTTCGGTTCAGTTTGGTTTTAGTTTCCATACATGAAAACCGAAACCAAACCGAGTTGTCGTTTTATTTTCTCATACAAACTAAAACCAACTGGTGGTTTTGAAAAACTGACAAACTTGGGTTGGGCCGGGCTGGCTTGGTCAGTTTGGTTGATTTGACATTTAATGTGAACACCCCTAACTTTTAGCTGACCAACCCGCCAACTAGACCAAGTCAATTTGGTTGGCCAAATAGCCTATGACTGAACCAAACCAACTCATGAACTCATAATTTCAGCTAAATTAATAGTCTTATCTCTTATAGATAAGAATAGTTTAATCTCCAATAATTATTTAAAATTTATAGCGAAAATACACAATTATTGAAAATATATTGATAATGAAAAAATACAATAATTACAATAAGTACTAAAAACGTATTAACTTAGTTCATAAATAGTATAATCTCAAATAATAGTTTAATCTTCAATAAATATTAATCAATAATTTATAACAAAAATACAATAAATACAATAAGTACACTAAATTAAATTTAAAAATTTCAATATTTGTAGTTTAATCTCCAATAATTGTTGAAAATTTTCTATAAAATAACAAAACAAAATAATTTTATACATAACCATTGAAAATACATTTATGACAAAAAACAATAAATAATTACTGAAATACAATAAATATTAATTTTAGTATATATAATTATATAATAAACACAGATTAAGAATTTAAAATTATTATTAATAAATATTAATTTTTTTGAAAGTTATTTTCTCAAATTATTACTTGATATAAGTGAAGTTATTTATTTACAATATTATGTAAAAATATTAAATTATTATTAATTTCAATATTATATTGTAATTATTTTTTTACTTTTCTGATTTTTTTAAATTTATTACATAATTTCTTTATTTTAAGTATTTAAAATTTATTTATATTAAATATATTGTTATTTAAATAGTTAAATAATATGTATAATATTAATTATTTATTGAGTTAAATTATCCATAAAATCATAATATATACTATTATTATGTAATTTCGTTATTAATTTTGTAATATATTAAATTATTATTAATTTCAATGTTATGTGATGATTATTTTTCTACTTTGAAGAAATTTTTTAAACTTATTACATAATTTCGTTATTTTAACTATTTAAAATATAGTTATGATAAATATTTAGTTATTTAAATATTCAAATAATATATAAAATATTTATTTTTTTTGTTATTTGAGTTTTATTTATTTAAAGCTATTACATATTATTAAATATTTAATAAACATTTAAATTGATAGTCCGGGAAAACATAATTTAAATTCTTAGTACATAATTTTGTGATATATTTTGTAAAAATATATTTATTTTTGTGTTTTTAATAAATATTTTAAAGTTATTATATAATTTTATTAGATTTTTTAAATAATTCTTAATTTTTTTTTTAATTTAAACTTTCTTTAGATAGATATAGATAAGAAGTAGGGCAGAGGAAAAATAGGAATTATAGATCATTTAGGAGAGAAACTCTCTACTAAGTTAGAGATAACTTTGTAGATAAATTGTAATTAGAGATAATTTATAAGATAAATAGGAATTAGAGATAATTTTGGGGAAAGTAGGGGATAGTGGGAGAGGTAGTTTAAGAGAAATTTTAGGAGAAGAAATTTTTTAGCTTATTGAGAAAGTGCATCTCATTGGTTGTCTTAAAAATGACATAGAATAAAAAAATAAAAAATTTAAAAAAAGAAGAAAGTTTCTTGGCCACTTCGTGTATATATTATATAGAGATGATGACAAGTGTTGTCATCATAGAATTTGTAATGATTAAGAGCTTGAATAAGGCTAGGTTCTAACATTTTCTCTTCCCCCAAAAGAAACCCTTAACCCTATCTAGGTCAGCATGATCCATTCCTTTCCCTTTCTCAGCATTCAACTGTTTTCCCCTCTGTTTTTTCTTTCTCTGGTCAGAGTGTCAGAGCTTGGAGTGGGAATGAACGAAGTGCGGAAGTATGACCAGCTACATTAGGCTGAGAAGACTATGGAAAAGGACGAGCTTCAGGTCTTAATCTGAGGCCTTAACGTTCACATCTGGACTCACGTGTGGTCACGAGGAATATTCCCATCTATCTACACCTCTTAATTGAATGACTTTTTCTTCCAAGAAAATAAAGAGGGTAATTACGCAAGGAGGACTGTTATATTATAATATTTACATTTTTTATCTTAAGTAGGGGTGTTACTTGGACCAGATTTGGTCCAATCCTATCCCGTCCACTATGAGTCTATTACAGAGGAATCAAGTCCAATCCAATCCGGTGAATACTCTGAACTATTTTGGACCAGTCCAATTCAATTTATGAATTGTCCAATCTGTTTAAATTGGTTTTAATTTAGATTGGTTCCAACACAAACTGTTGACACTTGTATTTTTATCTTCTATCAGTGTACTGGATATTGGATTAATTAAGTCTGAACTGTTCCAATTCAATATATCTTTATTGGCCCATTCGATCCGTCCAAATTGATTTTGATTTAAAAAGGTCCAACCCAAAATGAGTCCATTGACACCCCTAATCTTAAGTGGGTTTAAGTGTAGGGCTTGTACAGACAAGACGGACCTATTAGAGCTGTTGATGGATCCATTCTATGGTTTGTGTCTGGATCAATAATTGGCTTATGACTGGTTCTAGTTGTTCCAAACTGATTATATCATTCATAAATATTCATTTTCTTGTCATTTTTATTGTATTTAACTTAAAAAGATTAGTTTCGTGCACAGTATATAAGATAATTATGATTAAAAACATTTGTTTTATTAACATATAAACAATTTACTATTTACTCCACTTTATTAAGATAATATTATTATTTTACCAGAAAGGAAGTTCCAAATTATCATTATAAGTAACTTTAGGTGTCAAAGTATAATGGGGTCTAATCAGATCAGACCTTATTTTCCCAATTAATAATCGGTTTGGTTATGCACTTAGGGTCTATATTTTATGGAACTGGTTAATAATTGATTCAAGAACTGATCTCGAACCATATATCCAAATTAATCCTCATTACTCTCAAGTGCTACCAACACATAATTCTAATGTTCCAACATACATACATTGGGAACATCTCCCCATGGCAACAATGACCTGTTGGGAGAATATTTGTTGGTAAATAAGACCTATTCATAAGCTGGATTTCGGACCAGAATTTATACTGTTAGGTTTGGATTTTGGACCGGGTCCATTCAAAATTTGACAAAAAGTCATGCCCGATTGATAACCGATCATAAAGTCAGATACTTGTAAAATTCATAAAAGTTAAATTTGATAATACAAAGGGATTTTACTGAATCTTCTTCCTCCCCTTCATAAATTTTTATTGATTTATTCAATGGCAGGTGGAGATTCTATGATTCTATCAAAATTTAAGGGTAGTGAATCATAGATGGTAGTATTGTTAAATAAAACCAAAAACTAATAAAAAATTTTGAGATAGACCAAACCATAAATACAAATTTAGTCTTATACCTATCCCTTACACTCAATTTATACACATATAAAATATTAAATTTATTATTTTCAGTTCCACTTGAATTCCCAAAGGCAAATGACAAACTGGGTAATGTGAAGAGGAAATCTGATTTCACATTCTATATTTCTATGATGTTTGTTTTTGGGTCATAATGGATGTTGTTATGACGTACATAGCACGAACAAATAACAATGGAAGATACGCGCGTAGCCAAAAAAAGCACAGAACGAGCTAACATGCGCTGGGCTGTTACGGTTAGCTCGATTTGGTTGACCTACGTAGACATATTCCTATATAAAGCCGCCACAGTCCACAGACAGGCTTATAGACAGCCCATTATCCTGCGAGCTGAATGATAAGGTATCTATGGCTTCCCTTCTTTTTCCTCTTCTACCTCTCTTCCTTCCGGTCATCCTCGTTGATTCTTGAATTTCTCCTATCAAAGTCTTCTCTCGCCACTGGAATTCCGGTTTTCATGAAAATGGAGTTAAAATTAATAAACAAATGCGAGAACCAATCTCTTTTAGCCAGGTTTCTTTCTCGTTTTGTCGCGCGAGGAAAAAAATGGTTGCTAGAGAAACCGCGTAGGAATTTCCCCTCGAGTTGTTGATTTTTTGCGGTTAAAATACTACTGAATTTGATTTTCTTCTCGTCTTCTTCTGTGGATTCCGTCAATGGATTTGATGTGATTTTTTCTTTTACTTTTTTTTTTTTTGTTTGTGTGTTAGCTCCATTTCTAATATAAGCTGGCCATGGCGGACTCAAATGAAACAACTTCTCTGATTTCGAAGAGATTTTTTCCCCTCCATTTTAGTGACTCTTTAATCATTCCAAGGCCGTGGTTTGCAGAGATAGAGGTCCGATTTTTTAGTGTTGAAGCTCTAATTCTAGTTTGTTTTTAGTGTAGTTTTCCGTACTGCTTTCCTCGAAGAATCTGCGTCGTTTAAGAGTTTGCACGGTTCAGTGCTTTAGATTCTATTAGCTGTTACTCGTCAGTAGTTTTCTAGTGGATCAGTTCATGATTTTTGAAAAATAAAAGTAGCTTCCAGGCTTGGGAGGAGTAAGGCTTTGGCTTCTTGGATGTAATCTTATCATTTGAGTTCAAATTTTGTACTTTAGTTCTTGTTCGCAATCAGTCAGCTCTGGCATTTTGTTTGATATGCTGTTAATTTGTTAGGGACTAATATGGGAATTTATAATTCCATTTGATAGAAATAGATCAGGGACTTAGGGTTTTTATGAGTCTTCTCTCTCTCTCTCTCTCTCGTATTCTTTTCAGCTGATCCTTTCTGTACCTTGTGTACTTGCAGTGATCTGAAAAGATGGTGGAGGAAAAGTGTACAATCGCAAAAGATGTTACTGAAGTAAGTCACCTCCATAAGTGTTTTCTTATCTTTCTATTAACCATTTTATTGTGCCTTGATTTTGTAATATATTGCTTAAAGTTCTGATCTCATCGATATATTTTTACAGTTAATAGGTAAAACTCCGTTGGTATATCTCAACAACATTACCGATGGCTGTGTAGCCCGAATTGCTGCCAAGCTTGAGATGATGGAGCCCTGCTCCAGTGTTAAAGACAGGTATCGCTTAGGTTTATATGGAAAGTCTTGTTGTTAGAGTAAATATGTACTTCAGTAGTTTCAATTGCTTCACCAGCTTCATCATTCTTGAATAACTTTTATTGGCTCAGTAAAATGTTTACTCGGTCCAAAATATTGATCTCATCGGTTACGATGTTCCAACTTGCAGGATCGGGTATAGTATGATCACAGATGCAGAGGAGAAAGGCCTTATCAGACCGGGGGAGGTTAGTTGCTTCCTATTATGTGGATATGTTTGGAGGAGTACCATATCAATATTTAGGAACATTCTGTAACTATGGTTTCAAGTTTTCTCTTACATTTATGAAATTTATTTTATATGTTGTAGCTTTGCAACGGGTCATTATGGAGTAGGGATATATGACCTAACCTAAGGTGCAATGTATTTGTGTTGCCAAACCCACTTAGGTGGGAAGTAAATGACAATGATTACTGTAATTACCAACCCTTGACTAAGGACCATGCTGGTAAAGCTAGCAAACTGTGGCCAGCAAGCATTACTATTTCCCAAATATACAGTAATCAAAGCTTCTGAGATTGGTTGCATTTCTTCTTATTCCCATAAAAAGCTGTGGCAAGTTATGAATCACATAAACCTGCAGTTGATAGCTTCTACTAATAGAAATTGTTGTCTTTTATCTAAGGTAAAACATGCTGTCCAGTTTGTTGTGCCTAGGCTTCCCAAGTCTGGCTTAGATTTAATGTACTTCTCTATGATGTACTTTAGTTTAATATTCAAGACCAAGTTGGCATTGTTACTTGTTTTTGAATCAACTGGAATTTATAAAAGAAATTAATAGCATCACTTACCAATGCACAGAGGTTGCACATATAATCAAGATATGGCTGGGTTTCTCCAAATGTCCGTTCAAGTTTATATTATGCCACAGAAACTAGTAGGAGTTTATATGTATTGAAACTTGAAGATAAGAATTTTCCTCTGGCTTTGACTGTTTTTATGACGCCTGTAGACTGTGCTTATTGAGCCGACTAGTGGCAACACTGGTATTGGATTGGCCTTCATGGCAGCAGCTAAGGGTTACAAGCTTATCATCACCATGCCTGCTTCAATGAGTCTTGAAAGAAGGATCATTCTCCGAGCTTTTGGAGCTGAGGTGTTCCTCACAGATCCAGCTAAGGGCGTCAAAGGAGCTGTTCAGAAGGCTGAGGAGATATTAGCTAAGACACCAAATGCTTATATTCTTCAGCAGTTTGAAAATCCTGCCAACCCAAAGGTATTCAATGAATTCATATTATATACTGATATTTTGGATCAATTCAGATTTGAATGATTTAGTTACCATTTGATGTTATCCGTGTAGATTCATTACGAGACCACTGGACCTGAGATCTGGAAAGGTACAGCTGGGAAGGTTGATGCCTTTATTTCTGGGATAGGAACTGGAGGCACAATAACAGGTGCAGGGAAATTCCTCAAAGAGAAAAATCCTGATATTAAGGTTAGCTTGGTCCTTTACTCCTTCTATATGGACGGTGTCTTAGAGAATTTTTCAATTAGGATACTGCTGATAATAACTAAAAGGGTTGTTTATTTGTTTGATTTTCACCAAAAATATGTACTTATTCCTTGTTTGTTGGATTTGTTTCTGTTCCCTTTCAGCTGTATGGTGTAGAACCAGTTGAAAGTGCAGTTCTTTCTGGAGGAAAACCTGGTGAGTTTTCTAGTTGTTTTAGTCTTTATCATGTCAATTTTTGTTTTCTGTGGAAGTATTATCTTTTCAAGTTTGGTGGGGTTATGTTGTATTAAACTTGTAATACATTCTTGGAGCTCATAGATTCCTCTGTAATGTAATCCCTTCTTGATAAGTCTACCTATTTGTTTTGGCATCTGCCACTAGGTTATTGTGAATTATGCAATTTTCTCCATTGAAAGTTAAAATCTTGATTATATTTTTTTCTATATCTAGTCTTGTAAATAATATTTTAATATATTAATTGTTTCCATTTTTTATAAGTTTCTTTCAAATGTCTTAGGTCCACACAAGATACAAGGAATTGGTGCTGGTTTTATTCCTGCTGTTTTGGAGGTTGATCTTATTGATGAAGTTATTCAAGTAAGCCTCAATGACATTTGATTAGATGTTTTTTTTTTTCTTTCGACGGAACATGTGAGTAGATATTTTCTGAAAGCATCAGTGATTAAGCAAAGTTGTAAAAGGCACTCATAAAATTTAATAAATTGTCCACATAGTACGGTGTAAGTTGGTCCAGGTTAGGTCAGGTTGGGGTCAACCCGATAACTTTGGGCTGGGTTCTTCACCTCTTTTTTTCTGAAATGTTCTTAATTTCTTAGCTTTTAGACTTGAGATTAGTGGATTAAGGTTAACATACTAAAATTATTATATGTAAAAGGACAAAGTTCTGGTGCTTTAGGAGACTACATTTATGTCAAACGGGCAGATCGTGTATGAGGCTTCCACCAATGTCGGCTCTGGTGAGGAACAGATGTACACAGCCTTACCCCTGCAGGTGCACGGAAGGTGAACAGATGTACAAAGAGGCTTTAGGGGTACTAATTTATGTTACAGTATAATTCATGCACACAAAATAGATCCGTGAACCTATAGACTGCAGGTTGCAATGTTGACAAGGTTAAGTGCCCATCATACCCATGTCACAACTTGTAATTAGAATTCTTGCACACTATACTTTGATTGGAGTCCTTTGGCTGCAATATAGGCCCATGAACCTATAGACTACAGTATCTGTTATCCACTAGTTGCAGCTATAGTTTTGGCCTTTGCTCTTTGGAATTTTAAGGTTTGTCTACCAATCACTTCATTTCCATGTCCAACGTCTGTTGCATCAATTAGATGTCTAGTTGGGTCTTTAATTAGGTGCATATTACAGGCTCATTTGACTTTTTTTGATAGATTTTTGTGTAATTTCTAGATATCAAGTGATGAAGCTATTGAAACTGCAAAGCTTCTTGCACTGAAAGAAGGTTTATTGGTAAGTTCTCTACCCTTTGATGATAAAAGACCTTTATTTTTCTCTGTTCTCTGGACTAAGCAAATGAGATTTCGAAATTTATATTTGTATGTAGATTTCTCTGGTTCATGGATTTTTTTCCCTTTTTAGTTTGCTGATAAAGATCATTGATTACAGACTGGAATATCATCAGGTGCGGCAGCTGCTGCTGCACTTAAAATTGCAAAGAGGCCAGAGAATGCTGGCAAGCTCATCGTGGTAAGTTTGCTTAGAGATTAAAGTTTGTTTTGTAGTTAGCTGCAAAAACAAGATGTATAAGGTTTGCACTTTTCTGCAGCTGTTGGGATTCTATTAGACAACATTTTTGGAGTTGAAAGAACTCCATATCTCATATTATTAGAATCTTCATCATGTTGAATTTTTTGTCACAAAAGATCTGCCAAACAGGACTACTCGAGGCACTCTTGGGAGATCTTTCATGCCAAACTTTTACATGACCGGATGGTTGTTCCATTGTTATGTGTCAGTTTTTGAAACCCACAAACACATACAAGTTAGAGAAGAAAGAAAAAGAAAGGCAGAAGTGACAAGAATGAAGAGATCAAATTTTGTGATTAGAATAATCTGGCCATGTTAATTTAACAAGTTACAATGTCACTTGGAATGACACGATGTTTCAGATGTGGTGTCAGATGATTTGTAAAGCATACAAGAAAAAATATTTGTCTTAAGGGAAAATCTATGATGCAGAAAGGATATGATATGGAAAGAGTTTTGACCAATCAAAACCCCCACCCATGAATTTTGGTAAATAACACCTTATTTACCATATCATAGTTTGTGATGTCAGTTTATTGTTCGGTTGCTTTTCCGATATCATATCTTTTCCATATCATAGTCGAACCCTTGTCTTAATCTTATTTTGAAAGGTTAAGGTATGCAATGGGTCAAAAAGTGACATCACTGAAATAAAACTTTTGATTTGATCGGTTTCTCCCAACTGTCCAAGTATTTAGTATTCCTACTTGTCTAAATTTTAGACATTTCTCTTGAAGCTTATTAACTTTGTGAAGGAAAGAAGAACGTAAATCCATCAAGAAAATTTAAGTACTATTAATAAATCTCATGCATTTTCCCCAAGAAAATTAAAACCTCATTCACATATAGTAGATGGGAGGGAAATTTAGCTTGGTATACAAAATTCACCCCATACCTTACATTTCTACGGATTCTACATTCCTGTACTCTTTTAGTTTCATTTTGAAATTTAGATCATCAAACTGTTTCATTTCATTCTTGTTTCCTTCAACCTTATGTTGTCAGAAATGACTCGTTTTGCTGTTACGCAGGTGATTTTCCCCAGCTTTGGTGAGCGCTACCTGTCATCTGTACTGTTCGAATCCGTGAGAAAGGAGGCAGAAAGCATGGTTTTTGAGCCATAAGATGTCTGAACTTCAGGAATATTATCTTTTTTTCTCGGTTTCCTTCCTGTTCTTTGTGGCTCTTGCGTTATTTGTCCAAATAATTTGAAAGCTTTCTAATGTTGTACAACAGAAAGCAGTTTAGATGAACCTTGAATTGAAAGCAATATTTGATAGTTCAGAGAAAAGTTTGATCTATTAAAGTTTATAAAGGTTGCATGACTGCTGTGTATGCATGCATTTCGTGTTAAGGTTTGATACGTGAGGTCGCACTTGGATCCAGTGGGAGTGTATTCCGGTTCAACTCTTGATCTTTTGAAGTTAGAACCACTGATGAGTTAGATCTGGATGCCAGGTCCCATTTGAATTTGTGCTCAGCTGACTGATGGATTATTCAACTTGATCCAAACATGATCGGACCAGCAATCAACAAAAAGATGAGATTGTTATTTCTTATAAAAAAACGAACCACTCAAAACATCAAGGATGATACATAATCAATCCCCTTTTACAAAGAAATTCATGCAGAAATAAGGAAGGAGGGTGTTTGGGCAAAAGAAACAAAAGATCTTTTCCTTCTAGCTAGTTTAGCGATTACATGAGCTGGATTAACATATTTCCAGGAACATATATTAGTTTAATATCTACAAAATGATACAAAAGGTTTTTAGTATGATCTAGCAGAACTTGCTCGCTCCAGTCAACCAAAGATGAGAGTTGACTCAAGGATTACAACCGAAAACTTTTTCTACTGATCTACTTCAAGAAAAAAAATACTTAGTAAGAAAGAAAGGAAGTAGAAGAAAACAAATAGAGGAAAGAAAGATGCTTAAAAAGATGAACTACACGCATCAGAGGTTCAAACACAAGCCAAAACGAGAATAAGTTTATACCCTAAGATATTAGTCAGCAATTTGGCGCATGAATACATGTATATACTACTCTATTTTTATGCCAGGTATATTAATGTTTAAAACTCAATTTGGAATTAGGACCGCTTTGGCCACCGGTTTTTAGGTCAGCAGCTTGACCATCTGGTTTGGATGAATAAAATCAAAATGAAAATGATCAAAAATTTGATTAAGTCAATGGTTCGATTACCCAGATCAAAACAACAGGAAGAATCACAACGGGTAGAAGTCAGCACAATGGTTAAAGCTTGGCTAGAGATATACAGAATATAACCACAATAACAAGAAACTGAGACGAGTAAAAACTTGAAGTTACCGTACCCCCGCTAACACAAATCATGACGTACACTCTCACACTTTGGGGAGATGTTAGGCGGGCACCCCTCCTCAGTGCAATGGAGGTCGCCAACCTAGGCCACGGGCCTTCTTGATAACCCATCGACCCCGTCCAGGTAAGTATGGTCCACCCTCCCTCTTTCACTCAATTTATAATCCTCTATTTGCTTTGATTTTTCTTATTTAGGCGATGTGGGACTCCGTAGCCACTTCGAAGTAACAACTCCGTAGCCATCTTGTTGATTTTTCTTATTTATACTCCACACCACGGTTGATCTTCAATCAAAATTCCCCTTCCTCTGATATCTCAATTGAAAATAGAAAAACAAGAAATACTCTATTTCCTCTGGAAAGACCAAGAACAAAAAATAGAATAAAAGAAAGGAAAATAAATACTTAGGAATGAATTGGTGGGGTGCGCCAGTTCCGTGCAGTAGTGCAACGCATGGCAGACGCAAGAGGACCCCAGTAGCAAGCTACTGCGGTGGGTCTTCCCCCTAGAAAAATAAATTTAATATCATGTGGACCGATGGCCCACGTATCAGATATTAAACTGATAAGAACAGATACTACACTTGATCTTAGCCAAAAGGCCGAGAAAGGTATGAGTTCCTCAGTGTCTTCCATCTCCTTTTATAGTCCACGCTAACTCTTCTGTTCTTTTCAATAGCCGATGTGGGACTAAATTCGAGACAATATAACCAACAGAGTGCGAGTGCTACCTCACTCTTTCCTGTTGAAAAGCCTTCGCTTGAGCTTTCCAGAACCCAGAGGGTCTGTACTGTTCCGATTATTCACTATTTGGGTCGGTCACGGACTCACGGTCAGTTCAGCTTCCATGGTTATGCATGCTTAAAGCCTTAAACGCCCATGTTCTAACACGCAGTTTAGATCTTTTGCAAATGTTGCTCAAGCCTTAACCAAAGTGATCAAAATTCCACTGCAACTTAAGAAATGAAGTCCACTTAATTGGAAGTTCGAACGACCATTTTAATGGAATGAGAGATCCACAGAGTGGACCGTGCCTTTGTATTTCTGAAACAAATATCAAATCAGGAGGGGTCTGCATTAAACCAAGCCCGGTTTATATTGCCAATGGATCAATTGGCTTTGTCTCAAAAACTAATCCACATGACTGAGTTTCATATTAAAAGTCTGGCTCACCCTGATTTAAATTTAAAACTTTTCTCTGTTGATGATGAGCTCCAACCAAAGTTATTACCATAGACAAAGTTATCACAAGGAAGAGTAGTGGCGCTGACGCAATCAGGACTCAGGAGTATTAAATGTTAGTCTAAATGTGCAGTAATTTATTCTAGATACAGCTCATAAAATCATTCAAATAATCCAAAGTAAACTACTTTAAGCAGATGCAATTCTGTGGAAGAGAACCAAAAAAAAGTGTAAATAAACTATGAAGTCAGACTACTCAACATTAAAAGTTGATTGGAAACTTGTTTGGGGGATAAAAACAAAGGACAAGCTCCCTCCTGAACTAAAGAGGAGAAGATCTGTGTTTGAGGAAAAGCATCTGTTACAATTAAGTCGATCATCAGATGTACATACAGACAAATTACTGTGGAAGAGTTCAGAAAAAAGACTACTTACTGTGTCTAAACAGGATACAAATATTTCATAAACCAGTTACCATCTACTTCTGGATCAAATGAGAACTAGAACCTCATTTCGAAAACAAAAGTGCCTTTCAGGTTCCAAATCTTCATGTGGAAAGCATGGAACAATGGAGTGAAGACAAGAGACAAACTGCATTTCCTAAATGAAGCTGAAAAAATTTGCCCTTTGTGCAATATCAATAGAGAAACATGGCAACATATCTTTTTTTGCAATGCCATTATGCAAAAGCAATATGGCTAACATAACAGCCCAAATTGGAATTAACCCAGATGAACTTGAAAACATGCACTTAAGTCAGTTTGTCTCAAAATGGATAAAATCCGAGCTAGCAAACCAGCCTCCTGACATCAAACAAACTTATGTTGCAAAATTCTTCATATTATTTAGACTCATATGGGACATTTGTAATGCAAGAATCCATCAACAAAGTATGCTGGATCCCATACAACTGGTGGAGAAAGCGGCTTCTTTCCTGGGCTATACAGACTACCACAAACAAGAAGAAAAAAGAGTGACAAACACCCATCAGAGAATTCCTGAGAAATACATATACGCTGACGGTTCATTCAGTCTAATGACAGGACAAGTTGGAATAAGTTATGTCATTCTAACACAGGATCAATCTATTATACGTGCAGAAAGTCTGTAGAATCAGGGCTTCATCAACCACTCGTAATTTACAGCCTCAGAAAAGCTATATCACTGAAAATCAAGACAGTGACCCTTCTGTCTGACTCCCAAGGTATTGTGAACAGCATAAATGATGAGTAGGAAGGAGCTGGCTGGCAAATAGTACACCTTAAGGAAGAGATTTTGAGCTTACAAAGTGCTTTTAATTATATGTGTATAAAATATGTTAGCAGAACTTCCAATATAGCTGAACTGCTCATGAACTAGCCTATAATGCCTGTAAATATAATATAACTATCCAAAATGTGGAACTTGGCTCATCATCATCTATGAACCATTTATTGAATCAATGAAGCTTTGTTGTGTTTTTTAGAGAAAAAAAGGGGGGAGGGAGATTTTATGAGATTGCATAAATATGGCAACAACAATTAAAACAACTCAACAAGGCAAAAAAAAACTGAGTTGTTCAAGCTGTTTATGATATTCATTGGACTCATTTGGGACCAAAGTGAGAATTTTTTGTTACAACCCAATCAATTGTTGGAACAAGCAAGATTATATCAGTGGAAGAACATGTCTGACCAATCCACACAGGGTAGCTGTTTGGAAGTAAATTCTCAGCGAAGTGCACACACGCACACACACAGTTTTTGTAGATGGATGCTATGATCCTGACACTGGAAATGCAGCAATAGCAATTATAATTTTCGATGAACTCAGTAACATGGATCATACATGTATCAGAACATCAATGTAGGTCCTATGGAGCTAGAGAAGCAGAATGATGATCACTGATCATGGATTTACATGAAGCAGGGTTGAAGAATTTGAAGACTATTCTCATCTTTTCTTATGCACAGTGTTGTGGGTTTTGTAAAAAATCAAATTGGATCGAAGTCCGACTAATATTGGATGAGATCCGGACTTATTGACAGTAGGTAGGATTGTCAATGGTACCCAATCATTGGAGTCCGAGCTCAAAATCCGATACAAATAAACTGGAAATGGGTTAAAAAATGAATAATCTATAACTGAATTGGACCTGGATCCATCCCAATCTGATCCCATGAAGATCCAACTCTGACAGTTTTAATAAGTGTGTGAATATGTCTATATAGAAACAACATATCTTTATTAATAAGTTGGTTTAAATATCATATTTGTATTGAAAGTTCATAAGCTCAAATATCATGTAAGTTAATTTTGTTTATTTTTATTAATAAAATATAATATTTTGGTCTTTTTTGGTTTAAGTTACTTTTGATGTGCAGTGCTCGAATCTGATCCAAGTCCAATCAACAGTCTTTTAAAAAAAAAGAAAATTTTATTAATAATTAAAAGGAGGGAGGCAAGAGACTTTACCCTTGAAACAAAATTAGGAGCTAGAGCTCAATACAAAGGAGAGACTAAAAATAATAGAAACAAAAGTAATTTAAGAACAATGGGGGTGCTAACCTTTGTTTATTTTAAAAGATCTATGAACATTTCCTAACTAAGATGTTCCTTGGGTTTTCTTGGATTTAGAGTTCTTTTTCTTCTTGCTTTCCACTATCACCCAATCCTGATTTGAACCATTTGTCTCCTTGCAAGAGTGGCCATATGAACTGGGGTCATTACACCTACATTTTCTAGAACACCCTCAGCTCTGTAACAATGAGATCTACTATAAAGAAAGTGGACATTATTATGGATTTCAATCTCCCGATCGTCACGATCCCATTGATTAACCCTTGACCAAGGAAAATACGGCCTTTCATCATCACACCATTTGCTTGTGTTGTCTTCGTCATCTCTTGTGATTTCGTGATAGAAAGTGGTTGATTAACTTACCTTGTTTGGTTTTCTTGTTCCTTTTCTGTGTCCCTATTGGAATTTTGTCGAATACCTTTTGTACCAACCTCTGGTTCCATTTCACATTATATCAAGACTTGCATAGATGTACTCTTATTTTCACCATTATTCACCTTGTATAACAAGTCGATCCTTAGAGATATCGTCCAGGAATTTACCAGTAAATCTTGGCTCTCACTTTTCCATCAGAATTTGAATAACTAAATCTGGTAAAATAGTAGTAAGTTGATTGCATTGAACACCTCCATCTTTCACAACTTCAACTTCGTCTAGATCCAAATTGGTATTACTGGTAGGAACCACTGGGGCTATCCATCTGCAATGGAGTTAGATCTGTTTGGACTAGATGATGGGTGTGTTAAAAGATCTACTTAACTATTGATCGATTGATTTCCATCTTCTTTGGTTCAACAAACTTTTTAACTTTGGTGGTTAGAGTCATTTTCTCTCCCTTTAACATCTTTCCTTCCTTCTTGATCCTCTTACGGCATTCATCTTGATCATGGCCATGTATAGGTAAGTCGAACAGTCACAAGATCAACCATCAGAACTCTCACTGTGACCTAGGCTGTTAGGATTAAACTCTGAATTACTGATTAATTAGTATGGCAAACAAGAAAATAATTGAGAAATATGTGAATTATAAAACAAATAATAAGAGCAAAAGAAAGGTAAAGATGGCACCAGATTTATGTGGTTCGGTCAAAGAGACCTACATCCACAGGAGAGGAAAGAAAACTTGTTTATTCATATCCTTGATGAAAGTATTACAAACTGGCCACCTTACTAGTGCCGAAATGCCTTTAACAAAGCCTTGAAGCACTCCATAGCATAGATGACTGCTTTGATCTGGTGTGAAAAAAAAAATCCTTAATGGCAACAGTGAAGAAGAAAATTGATACCAAACATAGTAGGAAGTTCCCCTTCAGTTTTCTAATGCTTACTCTCCATCATCATTCTACTCCCTAGAAGCTCCCCTTTTATAGAAGAAAATAGGGAACATGGTCCCTAAATTTCTGGCGAAAAAATGGAGGGGCAGAATTAGAGGAGTCAAAATAAATGGAGCCGTTTTAGTAGAGTAATTGTGATTGTTGAGTCTCAGCAGTCATACCAAAAGACAACAGTTATTGTGACTGTTGAATTCCCTAGCCACACCAAACGTCAACAATCTCCACCTTGGCGAGAATTCAAACAACAAATCTCCCCCTCCAAATGCCCCAAAGGGCATCAAGCCTCAAATGAGACAAGACCCACCAAGTTGATGCAAGCATCGAACTTGGATGATGGTAATGGCTTAGTCAACATATCTATGGGATTCTCAACAGAAGCTATTTTGTTGACTAAAACACGACCATCCTCAACAATATCACGAACAAAGTGATAACGCGCATCAATGTGCTTGGTCCTCTCATGAAACATCTGGTCATGAGTCAGATGTATGGCACTCTGACTGTCACAATAGATCATTATAGCCTCCTGTCTACCTGTGAGTTCACCAACCAGATTTCGCAACCA